GTAGAGGGGTCCCGCTGGGGGTATGTGCCCGGGATGAGCCTGCTGCGAAGGGGATGCCAGATCCCGATCCAAGCGGGATGGATGGGTGACAGCTAGGAGCGAGCAAGGTCAGACTAGCCGGGTCGGTATCGTGCGGGCAGCGTGGTACAGGGGGAGTAAGCGGAGAATGGTCGGGGTCACAAGCCAGGATCAGCAGGTAGCGGGCAGCGCGGTACAGGGGGGTCAGGCAGGAGGATGGTCAGGGACGAGCCGGGGTCAGAGCAGGAGAGGGTCAGCATAAGTCAGAACAGGCAGAGTTTGGCAACTAGGAAGCGTACTTACAGAATCAGGAACAAGACCTTGCGGCAACCTGGAGATGCACAGGGCAGCTTTAAATAGAGCGCCCTGCTCTCCCATTGGTGCGGGCCGCGATCGCTACTGCGCATGCGCGGCCGCCGCCGCGATCGTCGGCCGGGACAGATCGGCCGTCTGCGCATGCGCGCACCGCCGAGGACCCGGGATCCCTGACATTGCCCCCCCCCTACGGGCAACCTCCGGATGCCCAACCGACCCCTACCGAATGGCTGGCTCTGAAAAAATTCCCGCACAAGTCTTGGGGCGTGCACATTTTGGGCCGGCTCCCATGAATTTTCCTCCGCCCCATATCCTTTCCATTTAACCAGAAACTGAGTTCGGCCTCCCCTCTTCCTACAATCTAAGATAGCTTCAACTTCAAACTCCTCCTCCCCATCCACGTCTACTGCCTCCGGTGGTTTGGACCTTCGATCCGGGAAGGGATCTGGAGTTGCTGGTTTCAACAGGGACACGTGGAAGACCGGATGAACCTTCATAGACTCGGGCAGTGCAAGCTCGTATGCCACCTCGCTGATCCTACGTTTCACACGAAAGGGCCCCAAGAATTTGGGAGCCAGTTTCTTCGAAGGGCAGGGCATTTTCAAATTTGCGGTGGACAACCAAACCTGGTCCTCTGGCTGCAAACTCAATTCCCCCCTTCTCTTCTTATCAAATGCCCTCTTATTGTCACCCTGGGCCTTTGCCATTGCTTCCTGCAATACCTTACTATTGGTTGACAAAAAGTTCAACATATCCTGCGTGGCCGGGACTGCGACCTCCGGGATCAGATCTGGCAGGAATACAGGGTGGAACCCGTAGTTTGCGAAAAACGGGGACTGTCCAGTAGCCGAGTGACTCGCATTGTTATATGCGAATTCCGCAAGTGGCAGGAGAGTAAACCAGTCATCTTGGAGGAAGGTGGTATAGCACCTGAGGTACTGTTCTAGGGTCTGGTTTGTACGCTCCGTCTGGCCATTGGTCTGTGGGTGGTAAGCAGAGGAGAATGACAGCTTAATTCCCAGGGTATCACATAAAGCTTTCCAGAACCTGGATGTAAACTGAACCCCTCTGTCAGATACAATATCCCTGGGAATTCCGTGGAGTCTTACCACTTCTTTAATAAATACACGTGCTGTCTCAAGGGCTGTAGGTGTGTCCTTTAGAGGTACAAAATGGGCCATCTTGGACAGGCGGTCTACAATCACGAAGATTGCTGTGTGGTCCTGAGAGGGTGGAAGTTCCACAATAAAGTCAATGGAAATCATTGTCCATGGTCTGTCGGGTATTGGTAATGGACGCAAGAGACCCCAAGCCTTATTCCTAGTAGGCTTGTTCCTCTGACAAACAGGACAGGTTTTTACGTAAGTTTCGCACTCTCTCTGGCCATATTAGGCCACCAGAAGGTACTCTGTAACAGCTCCAAGGTCTTACGTACCCCAAAGTGCCCGGCCAGTGGGTGATCATGGCAGTATCCCAATACCAATGTACGGGCTTCCTCAGGGACCACAATCTGATCCTCCTTCCAGAGGAGTCCCTCCCTATTTAGTAAGGGGACACCGGGTGGGCCTTGCATACCTACGGATGCGGTCTGCAATTGAGAATGAAGCTCTGATTGGAGAGCTAGGAAATTCCCTGGGGTCAGGATGGTGTCCGGCTTGGGACTCTCTTCGGGGTCCCCAAACATGCGGGAGAGCGCATCAGGTTTCGTATTCTTAGACCCTGGCCTATAAGTTATATGGAAAAAGAACCGTGAAAAGAACAGTGCCCACCTGGCCTGACGTGGCCTCAGACGTTTAGCTGTTCTCAAATACTCTAGGTTCTTGTGTTCCGTGAAAATCAATATCGGGTGTACCGCCCCCTCTAACAGGTATCTCCATTCCTCTAGTGCCACCTTGATCGCCAAGAGTTCCCGATCCCCGATATCGTAATTCCTTTCAGCAGGAGTTAGTTTCCTGGAGAAGAAAGCCACCGGGTGCACAAGCTCTTTGATGCCCTTCCTCTGGGACAGGATTGCCCCGACCGCATTCTCGGATGCGTCTACCTCCAAGATATATGGCAAGGACGAATCAGGGTGGCTCAAAATAGGAGCTGCCGTAAACAACTCTTTTAAAGCTTCGAAAGCCCTCTGTGCCTCAGGCGTCCACTGGAAGCGGACCCCCTGCCTGGTCAGCTGGGTGATAGGGGATACTAGGCCCGAAAAGTTCTTAATGAACTTTCTATAAAAAGTTCACGAAGCCAATAAAGCGTTGGACCGCTTTCTTATCGGTGGGGGCTGGCCAGTCTAAGATGGCCGAAACCTTTTGGGGATCCATGGCTATTCCCGTGGGCGAGATGGTTAGGCCCAGAAATGAAATACTCCTCTGTTCAAAACAGCACTTGTCTGCCTTGGCATACAAGCTGTGTTGGCGGAGCCGTTCTAACACGCGCTTCACATGACCCCTATGGTCCTCCAAGGTTGGGGAAAAGATAAGGATATCGTCTAGGTATACAATGACGAAGACATCCAGATAGTCCCTGAACACATTGTTTATGAAATGCTGGAAGGTGGCTGGAGCGTTGCATAGGCCGAAGGGCATAACCAAATATTCATAGTGTCCGAATCTGGTACGGAATGCTGTCTTCCACTCGTCCCCCTCTCTGATACGGACTAAATTATAGGCACCTCTCAAGTCTAATTTAGTGAAGACAGATGCTGACTTCAACCTCTGAAAAAGTTCGGGGACTAGTGGTAGCGGGTAACGGTTCTTCACCGTGACTTTATTCAAGTCCCGGTAATCTACGCAGGGCCGGAGGGACTTGTCCTTTTTTTCCACAAAGAAAATGCCCGCCCCAGCTGGCGACGTGGAGGGTCTAATAAACCCCTTATGGAGGTTTTCATCGATATATTCTCTCAGTACCCCTAACTCCCGCTCGGATAAGGGGAATATCCGCCCAAATGGAATCTCCGACCCTGGGAGGAGATCGATTGGGCAGTCATAACCTCGGTGCGGGGGGAGAGTGTCCGCCCCCCGCTTGCTAAACACATCCAAAAAATTATGGTAGGCCGAAGGAATGACTTGCGCCAGTTCCACATCTGTCTCTAGACACAACAAGGTCTCCGGAATCGGGGAGGTCTTAGGGAGGCAATGCTGCTGGCAGTATGTGGAGAGGAACTGGATAGAACCCATCTTCCAGTCCACCTGGGGATTATGGGCTTGTAACCACGGGAGCCCCAAAATAATTGGAAATAATGGGGACGCTATGGCGTCTAACCGAAGGATTTCTTCATGATGGGTCGATATAGTGGTACGGATAAGTGGGGTTTCTTGGTCCACCACCCCTGACTTAATACGGGATCCATCTGCCAGGAAAATATTCAATCCCACCTCCTTTGCTTGTAGGGGGATTCGTTGCTGAACTGCAAAGTCCAAATCTATGAAGCAACTACACGCCCCAGAATCCACAATTGCTGTGGTCACCACCGTTCTCCCTGGCAGCTGAAGTGACACAGGTACCGCTAGATAACTAGTGTTGCCCACACTGGTAGAATTGATCGTAGAAAAAACAGCGGAACACTTACCCCCCTTGGCTGGACAGGTACGTACCACATGGCCTGCTCCCCCACAGTATAGACAGAGATGGTTGGTAAGACGCCTCTGGCGTTCCTCAGGTGTAAGTGTCAGCCGTGTCCTTCCCGGTGGCCCGGTCTTGGGTGTATCCATAGCATCCTGGCTTGCCGGCTGGAACTGGGTTGAAGCCTGAGGGGGTGTTTCAGTTGGTCCTCGTCCTTGGTTGCACTTTTCCTGCCTGCGCTCCCGCAACCGGCGGTCAATTCGAATAGTCAATGCTATTAGGGCCTCCAAAGTACTAGGTATGTCTATTCGGGCCAATTCGTCCTTCAGTGATTCAGCTAACCCAATGCGGAACTGGTGGTGCAAAGCCGCCTCGTTCCATTGGCTGTCACTATGCCAATGCCTGAATTCGGCGGCATAGTCCTCCACTGTCTGGTGACCCTGCCTGAGTGTATATAGGGCCCTCTCGGCCGTTGCGGTGCGCAGCGGGTCGTCATACAAGAGGGCCATAGCCTTAAAAAATACTGTCATTGACCTCAACAGCGGGTCTTGATTCTCTAGGAGCCGGTGGGCCCAGTCTTGGGGTCCACCCCGTAGTAGGGCAATGATGAACCCTACCTTCACTGATTCGGAGGAAAAGGTCTGAGGCTGGAGGTCAAAGTATAGCTGACAGGAGCTACGAAAGGCCCTGAATCTACTTCGGTCTCCAGAAAAACGTTCTGGTGTGGGGACACGGGGTTCAGGTGCGGGTAACAACCCTGGTGTCTCCCTAGTGGGTTCCCCAGACCCCCCGGTAGATGTAGCTATGGTCTGCATGCGATTGTCCAATCTAGCATAACCCTCCTGTAGACCCCTAATTCCCAATGTAAGGGTCTCCATCTGTCGGCAGATGTCATCCAGAGGGGACGTTCCCCTTCCAGGCTCAGTCATGGCCGCAAGGTACTGTCAGGCTCCGCCCAACGGGATCTCTAGTGGTCCACAGCACGGGGTTTCCCAGGACGCGGAGTCTAAGTCCCAGTCTGCCTCTTCACCAGGGCCCCTGATGGTGGGGATGGACTTGGTGCAAGACTGAGACCAGGTCGCGCCCCTGGGCACCCCCGGCGGTGGTAGAGGGGTCCCGCTGGGGGTATGTGCCCGGGATGAGCCTGCTGCGAAGGGGATGCCAGATCCCGATCCGAGCGGGATGGATGGGTGACAGCTAGGAGCGAGCAAGGTCAGACTAGCCGGGTCGGTATCGTGCGGGCAGCGTGGTACAGGGGGAGTAAGCGGAGAATGGTCGGGGTCACAAGCCAGGATCAGCAGGTAGCGGGCAGCGCGGTACAGGGGGTCAGGCAGGAGGATGGTCAGGGACGAGCCGGGGTCAGAGCAGGAGAGGGTCAGCATAAGTCAGAACAGGCAGAGTTTGGCAACTAGGAAGCGTACTTACAGAATCAGGAACAAGACCTTGCGGCAACCTGGAGATGCACAGGGCAGCTTTAAATAGAGCGCCCTGCTCTCCCATTGGTGCGGCCGCGATCGCTACTGCGCATGCGCGGCCGCCGCCGCGATCGTCGGCCGGGACAGATCGGCCGTCTGCGCATGCGCGCACCGCCGAGGACCCGGGATCCCTGACAGGAATATAGAGTTTTTTCCTCCGGGTAGGGAGGATATTGCAGGAAAATGGATTAAGAAGGAGGATGTGCAATTAAGGGATATAATGGTGGGGGAGGAATTGGGATCACTTAAGGATTTGGAAAAGAAAAAAGGAGAAGTTTTCACAAGGATAGATGAGTGGCGTTATCATCAATTGAAACACTTCGTTGGGAAGCTCCCGAAACCCTTGAGAACTAGAAAGGATTGGAATCCATTTGAAAGGTTATTGGAATCACGGGGTGATGGGAAACATGGTACTGCTAAAATATATAAGATTCTCACTGAATTAGACACAAATACAAAGCCGATGTATATAGGAAAATGGGAAAGGGATTTGGGGGGGTGGTAATAGATGAGGAAAAACAGAAGAAAATATATAGATTAACTTATGAAAATATAAGTATGCGGGAGGTGGAAATGAACTATAAGTGTTTGGTAAGATGGTATATTACACCAAATGTTGAACATAGGATAAGTAGGGAGAATTCACCATTGTGTTGGCGGGGTTGTGGAGGGAGAGGCACGATGTTTCATATATGGTGGGAGTGCCCAAAAATACAAGTATTTTGGAAGAAAATAGTTCACCTGATTAGGACGTTTACTGAAATTGATGTTATATTAGACCCAGAGATTTGCCTTTTCCATGGTACAGAGTTATCAGTGAATATATATAAGGAATCGGGTATATGGTATTATCTAAATGCAGCAAAAGGTCTGATACCCAGGTTTTAGCATAAAAAAGAGGTGCCGAGGGTAAAGGATTGGGTGGATAGAGTGAACCAGATTTGTAGGATGGAGAAACTTTACCATATGTATGAAGACAAGATGGGGACATACTATGTGAAATGGAAAAAATGAGAAGAGTTTAAGTTAAAGGTGAAATATATGACAGTATAATGTATAATATTAGGAATACTCCTCTCTGTTTTATATGGAAGATGTGGGAAAACGCAGATGGGTAGATGGGGGGGGGGGGGGGGAAGGATGGAGAGGAAGTTAGATGGGAGGGTGTGGGGGAGCAGAGACAATCAGGGGAATGATAATTGTATTAAAAGTGCTAATGTTTTTTAAGAGAATAAGATTGTAAAATGTATTTGTTTTGAAAATCAATAACTATTTAAATAATATATAGCGCCAACAGTTTGCTCAGCGCTTTACAATATAAAGGGAGACAATACAGCAACAATACAGTTCAATACAAGCTCCTTGGAGCTTACAATCTAGGCGTTTATGATTGTTAACATACATTTATAGTGCGGCACTATTACTTTAACCTCCCTGGTGGTATTCCCGAGTGTAGCTCGGGGTAAAGTTTCAGCACCACAAGCGGTAACCCCCCGAGCTACACTCGGGAATACCTTGCAGCGTTGCTCCGGGATCTCTTCTTCACTTACCTTGTCCTGCGCTCCCGTGATGTCCCTCCTGCAGTGTCCCTGGCAATGTCCTCCAGCGGATGCTGGCATCTGTCTTCTGGGTTCCGTTCCCTGCGACGTTGGGACGTATGGGGGACAGAACTGGCAGGAAATTTGAAAGTTGTAAAAGTGACATTCACTAAATTCACTAAAATTAGAACTACTTGCAGAATTGAGTAATAATGATTTGTGGGGAAATTCATCATCAGACACTGAAAACGATTTCACGACTTTGCTCAGTGATGTGCGAACTTGGCGCTATATTTAAAATTTCAGTGTTTTGGTGTGATTATATTATTTAATTAAATGTATTATTATTATATTATTATTATTATTTTGTATAATAACTTATTAAATTAGAATTTATGATTTTGTGCTTCAAATTTTAACATACCCAGGATGTTTAATAGACTCTTGTTCGGACAGATTTCAATGAGTTATTCCTAAAAATTACAGGCCTACAATAAAAAAAATACATATTTCCATGCAAAAAATGTACTGCTTTGAGCACAGAAGTATGGACATAATCAGACCGCTAGGGAGGCTACCATATTACTTTAACATTATTCAGAAATTATTATATGAACCTTTTTAGCACCATTTACTAGTTTACATCATTATTGCACTTATATGCACTTTTTTTGACTTTACATGCATTTATGATTGATAACATGCATTTATAGCGCTGCACTATTACTTTGACATATTTCTATTCTGGGACTGTTGACAATACCCTGAGTGCTACCTTCATATCTATACCTATGTTCATATTTATCTTGTGTAATACCATTTTAGTAGTCTATATAATTATACCAGCGCTCGTTTTATCATTATTTTTAAAGAGCCACATCTAGCCCAAAGGACACAGTTTGGGGAGCATTCACCTAGAAATTGCATTGATCACTATACAATATATGGGACACAGTTAACTAAAGTAGAACTAGAAAAATACTAAAAAAAATATTGGTTCACGGCATGCTTAATAGCACTATTCCATGCCAATTGCCTGGTGAAAAAGAAAAAGATAGGGGATGATTTAGTAAGATAGTCTGTTCACTTTGCAAGGGAATTTCAAATTTAAAAGAGACATTTCTCTTAAATCCATGTCATGCAAAGAAAATTTAAAAAAGGGGTACAGGACACAGGATGTGTAGTCATAGACCATAGGTTATATGCCACTACCTTCAGATGATTGAACACTAGCAACATATTTACTGGAAATGCCCCCAAGTGCACCATCATATAACCCAAACCACTCAATGGGAATCCAGTTTTGTGGCAAGAAATAAGGAGAAAAAAAGAGCAAAGGTGAGGGACGTGTGTCCTGTACTTTATTCCATGATATGAGAATTATAGGTAAGTTAAAATTCCCATTATTTTCAAAAATACAGTACAGGACACAGGGGGTACATTTTTAGAGCATGGGTTATATGTGCTACCTTCAGGTGATTGAACACTGGCAAAATGTTTGCTGTGAATGCCCCCAAATGCACCCCATATAACTCAAATCACTCCATGGGACTCAAGTTTTGTAGCAAGAAATAAGGAGAAACAGAGAACAAAGGGGAAGTACCTGTGTCCAGTACTATATTTCATGATATGAGTCTTACAGGTAAGTCAAAATTCATACAGTACATGACACAGTGTAGTCATAGACCATCCCCAAGTAATAAATTGAGGGGTGGTAAAAAATATACCAAACAATGTAAAACAGGCCCACAAGGAAACAATAGTCAACAGACTCAAAACTCTGAGATGATAGCTTGAAGTGCCTTGCAGCAGAAGCTCAGATAAAAAGGGGCCTGGAGATCAGAAGGCTAGGTAGAAGCATTGCAAACCTGCAAAATAAATGCTTATTACTGAAAAGCCCAAGAAACACCAACAGACCTTGCGGAGTGGTCTCTATTAGGTTAGGAGAAACCCTTTGCTTTAGGGCATAAGCCTTGGAAATGAACTGAACCACCAGCTATAGTGGAAGAGAAAGCAGAATGAAGATTCTTGGGACCTTCAGAATTGACAAAAGGAATGATTTTTTGCTTTTTTCAACAGTAGAATTTTTATTGTTTTCACAAATATAAATAAATGTACAAACTGTTGGTTAATCGTAGATATACACAGCAACTAGATGATGCATTAATTAGAATATCAGCTCATTTCTTACAACTCAAAAGTCTATCAGAAATTCAACAAATTATACTTTTCCACCAAACAGTCTGAGTCTATATATATTCCGTTCTAATACAAAGTAAAGAGAACAACATCAACAACAACAAATAATTATTTATCCTTACTGTTCTGTAGAAATATATTATTACCAAAAGATTTGATGTTTATATAGGAGGTAAGTTCCGGAGTGTACTGAAAGTTAACCAGGGTTCCCATTCTTTCTTAGATTTCTCATCACTGCCGTTGATTAGTGTGAAAGAGTGCTCATATGAGCAGTGTAATGTTTTCAATAAAATTACCGTATTTTTCGCTCCATACGACGCACTTTTTTCCCCCCAAAAAAGGGGGGAAAATGTCAGTGCGTCTTATGGAGCGAATATAAAGCGGCCGGTCCGGTATTTCTGCCGCCACCGTGTCAGAATACCGGGCCGGCCGCTCAGCTGTTCTCTCCTGCAGGGCCTTACCTGTTCCTCGCTCCAGCGCTGCACAGTCTTCCCGCGCTGGCTTCTGTGACAGCCGGGTGCCCACTGCGCATGTGCTGCGCTTTGTGAATGATTCCGTGTCTTCTGGGACACATGACAGGTCCCAGAAGGCGCCGGGCCATTCACAAAGCGCAACGCTTCTCGAGCATGCGCAGTGGGCACCCGGCTGTCACAGAAGCCGGCCCGGGAAGAAGAGCGAAGGACAACTCCGCGGAAGTGGGAGCGGGTACCTGTCAAATTCAGGTACCCGCTCCCCCTCCCTCCCCAAAGGTCAGCAGTCTCTGGTCATTCCCTGCACTGTCTGCAGTCTCTAGTCATCCCCTGCACTGTCTGCAGTCTCTGGTCATCCCCTGCACTGTCTGCAGTCTCTGGTCATCCCCTGCACTGTCTGCAGTCTCTGGTCATCCCCTGCACTGTCTGCAGTCTCTGGTCATTCCCTGCACTGTCTGCAGTCTCTGGTCATTCCCTGCACAGTCTGCAGTCTCTGGTCATTCCCTGCACTGTCTGCAGTCTCTGGTCATTCCCTGCACTGTCTGCAGTCTCTAGTCATTCCCTGCACTGTCTGCAGTATCTGGTCATTCCCTGCACTGTCTGCAGTCTCTGGTCATTCCCTGCACTGTCTGCAGTCTCTGGTCATTCCCTGCACTGTCAGCAGTCTCTGGTCATTCCCTGCACTGTCAGCAGTCTCTGGTCATCTCCTGCACTGTGTCCGCAGTCTCTGGTCATCTCCTGTACTGTGTCCGCAGTCTCTGGTCGTCTCCTGCACTGTGTCCGCAGTCTCTGGTCGTCTCCTGCACTGTGTCCGCAGTCTCTGGTCGTCTCCTGCACTGTGTCCGCAGTCTCTGGTCATCTCCTGCACTGTGTCCGCAGTCTTTGGTCGTCTCCTGTGCTGTGTCCGCAGTCTCTGGTCGTCTCCTTTACTGTGTCCGCAGTCTCTGGTCATCTCCTGTACTATGTCCGCAGTCTCTGGTCATCTCCTGTATTGTGTCCACAGTCTCTGGTCATCTCCTGTATTGTGTCCGCAGTCTCTGGTCATCCCCTGTACTGTGTCTGCAGTCCATTGGTTCAGAATATTTTTTTTTCTTGTTTTTCGCCTCAAAAACCTAGGTGCGTCTTATGGTCAGGTGCGTCTTATGGAGCGAAAAATACGGTAACTGCAATATTAAGATCCCTATATAATAGAGAGGTATTTCTCACCCCTTTGATAAACCCTGCCTCTAGGATCCGGTGCATATGGTCCTGAAACGTCAGAGCGTTGCCCCGTATATGCTAAGGGCATTATATCCACCTTTTTGTAAGCTTTCCTTCCTCTTTCCCATTGGCAAAATCTTTTTTTCTTGGGCATTAAGGGCCTTTTTTTATATGCGATCATATGGACATATGTATTCATACATAGTTCATTGATGTTCCCAATGACAGTATTACTAAAAGGGATAGACGGTCCAAGTGAGAATACCTGTCTTTGAAGTCCTATACCATATCCCCTAATCTATGGGGTAGAATGAGGAGGAGGTGTGGAATGACTTGAATGTTTACACACTTAATGGTGGGTTTATATTCTATGAGACCATTATGGTACCAGTGTATGACACACAATGTGTTTCTACTGTTGAATTATTTGCATAGCTATTTATTGCAGTGACTTGTGGTGTGTCCTTGTGATCCATGCCTGGGGGATTTCCATTGCATCTATGGGGTATAATCTATTAGGTATAATGAGGAGGAGGTGTGAAATGACCTGGATGTTTACACACTTAATGGTGGGTTCCTAGTCTATGAGACCATTATGTTACCAGTGTATGACACATAATGTGTTCCTACTTATTTGAATAGCTATTAATTGCAGTAACCTGTGGTGTGCTCCTGTGATCCAGGCCTGGGGGGTTTCCATTAAGTCTGGGTTCATCCAGTCTTCCAACCATATGAGGCAACAGAATTTTGAAGTACCATGTCATTTAAATGGGTTCAAAACTCAACAATGTTTTCTGCACTTTCATGTATTGTGAGTATATCTACAGAGTGTAAATTGTAAAATATTGCAATGGATACAAGAAATGTTCCAAACAAATATATGTTCAATCTTGTAGATGATGTCACCCATATGCAGAGTTCTTCTTTTTCCCTGAAGAAGGAGTGAAGTCACTCCGAAATGCTTTGGATCATATAGAAACTATCTCTGTAATCATATGTATGGATGGTGATGTTAAAATATTTTTAATGGCTAGTCATAGTCATACTGGGTATCCTTATCATGCAATTTATACTTTTATGGTGATGCTGTACTATGATTTTGGATGATATATTGTATGGTATGTCTACATGTTAAAATAATTTTTTAACACAATAAAAAGCTTGTGCTTTTTATAAAACGTTTTTCGGTATATATTTATGCCTTCAAAGTCCCAAGTCCTATAGGGGGTATTTTCCCTTTATTTATCTTGTAGTTCTGGGGATGTTGGCTACTGATTAGGAAACCCCTTTTCTTCTTCTCTTTTTTATACATAAGAACATAAATGCATGTGGCAAATGTGCCTACTTACGAAAACAATGATTGCATTACATATGTTACATCACTTTAAATACTGGAGTGAGAGAAATATTTCTAAGGCCATCATTCACTGATAAGACTAAACTGATAACCTGTAAAGGCTTTTAAAGGCCCTGCCACTGTTAAAAAGTAGGAGAAAACAACACAGGGTGCTCACGAATACAATTTGAGGGGCCCCAGAATGCAAGTTCTGAGCAGAGAATGGTGGTTTTTCATCTTTCTCCAGGATTTGTAATTTCTGAATCAGGGTCTGGAGCTCAGAGACTTTGAAGTGTTATGGGAGGAAAGGAGTCTCCAATCCTGTGCCTGCGTCTTGCAAGAAATCAACAGGCAGAGAGTTTGCACGGAGCAGCCAGAATGTGTGTGTTTGCACAGTGCAGATGTAGTAGGTGACAGAGCAACAAGGAACTAAAAAAAAATCTGAGGTACAGAGTTCATACAAGAGCACTGAGGTACTGTGTTAGATGGTCAGGAGGACCAAGGCAAAAGGCCTGAGTAGCAGTGCTGCTAGAGAGAACCATGGGGCTGACTGTCATTTATGTTTGTAAACCCCCACAACACCACAGTATATCATTTTATGTGATGAATTGGTAGATAACTATATTTATAATATAGTTTCAGTGAGTTACATAATTGTGCCTTACAGTGAAAGGATAGTTACATAAAATTAATGAAGTGACTGACAATTTGTATTTCTTAATTTGGTTGGTGTTTAATCACCTCCCGCCCGCCATATAGTAATATGACGGGCGCAAGGTGGTTCTCTCGTTCTGGGTGGACGTCATATGACGTCCTCCCATTCTCACTGTGCATACGCAGCTCAGGGACCACGCAGCTCAGGGACCGCGCAGCATGGCGATCGCAGATGCGCTGTGTCCCTCGGACACAGCGGATCACGGAAAGAGCCGAAGATGTCGGCTCGGTCATGTGATCAGCTGTGTCCAATCACAGCCGATCACATGTAAACAGGGAAAATGCCGGTTATCTGCATTTCTCTCCTCTCGAGCTGTCACGTTGACAGCTCGAGAGGAGAGGAGAGACGGTAATCGGCTTTCCACGGAGGGAACATGTACACTGATCATCAGGGCACTGATGATCAGTTTGCCCTGATGATCAGTGTAGCCCCAGCAGTGCCACCTGTCAGTGTCCATCAGTGCCAGCTGTCAGTGCCTTGTGCCAGTGGCCATCAGTGCCACATCAGTGCCACATATCAGTGCACACCAGTGCACATCAATGCCACATATCAGTGCCCATCTGAGCTGCTTTTCAGTGTCACCCATCAGTGCCAGTCAGTGCCACCTATCAATGCTAATCAGTGCCACCTATCAGTGCTGCCAATCAGTGCCACCTATCAGTGCCAGTCAGTGCCGCCTATCAGTGCCAGTCAGTGCTGCCTATCAGTGCGCATCAGTGCCGCCTAACAGTACCTGTCAGTGCCGCCTAACAGTGCCAGTCAGTGCCGCCTATTAGTGCCAGTCAGTGCCGCCTATCAGTGTTGCTTATCAGTGCCATGTATCAGTGCTGCCTTTCAGTGCCTATCAGTGATGCCTGTCAATGCCCATCAGTGCCACCTACCAGCGCCTCCTCATCAGTGCCCATCAGTGCCACCTATCAGTGTCCATCAGTGCAGCCTATCAGTGCCCATCAGTGCAGCCTCATTAGTGCACATCAGTGAAGGAGAAAAAAAATCACTTATTTACAAAATTTTATAACAAAAACTAAGAAAAAACATTTTTTTTTCAAAATTTTCAGTGGTTTTTGGTTTGTTTAAGAAAAAATAAAAAACCCAGAGGTGATTAAATACCACCAAAATAAAGCTCTATCTGTCACAAAAAAAATGATAAAAATTTCATATGGGTACAGTGTTGTATGACCGCGCAATCGTCATTCAAAGTGTGACAGCACTGAAAGCTGGAAATTGGCCTGGGCAGGAAGGGGGTATAAGTGCCCTGTAGGCTAGTGGTTAAATACTGTATGTATTTATGTATGTGCAGGGGTATTCACAGTAGTTACAGAATATGCATCCCTTGGTTTGCTCAAAACCAAGGGATCTATCAAACCATAGTTATCCCGTATATATTATACATTTATAGCACAATACTAGGCTGAAAAATACTTTACTAATAAGGATGAGTGAGCGGGTAAAGTTTGGTTTGTTAGACATTCGGCGAATCCAGTGAGAAGTTTGTAAACTCTGAACACAGAGCCACCCTCATTAAAATCTATGGTAGTCAAATCCTGTGTTTTTCTGGGGCTAATTTATAAGCGTCTGTTAAAAAGGGGCATGGGAGGCATATCAGAGGTGACAGCAGGAAAAACATCTGTGACAGCCATTTTAAACTAGCTTTTAGACAAACAATTAACTGCAGATTTAGGATTGGACTGAGTGCACAGATTGCAGGGAGCCTGCCCATTTAATGCTGCCCTACCACAAAGTAAACTCTCCACCATGGAATTCTGGGGAAAAGAGCTTAATTTTCCATATCCATTGAACAGTGGAACACTACATCCATGAAACCTCTTAAAGACTCAAAATGCACATCTCACCAGGAATTAACCCAAAAATGATTCCACAAATAATTTTTCTACACTTCTCAGAGAGTGGCTATCCATCCCATAATAGCTTTGGTCTGTTTGATTTGATTCTCTACAATCCAAGTCAGGACACTGTGTGACGGAATCACTTTGGGTGGGGGGCCCATGGAGCACAGCTCACTTTGGAGAGGTGGGGAGACCCCTGTCTCAGCTCCCCATATCCCTCTTATGTGTAAGTCACCCTGTGTCTCTTAGGGGCACAGGGTGATTAATGGACGCTGAGAATGCGGTTGGAATTACTACAGATGTGACAGTAATATTTATCAGCTATATGAAGACTATTCCTGGTTGTTGATGATTCTGAACTAGGCATGTGAATTGAAAGAGCAGGACCATCTGCTCTTAATAAGATCCTAATTCGTCCAACCATTGTCTAGGTGTGAATTCCCATTCACCTTTTGTTTTTATCACCCAGCTAGCTAACCTAATTAACTTACTGTTTAGAATGTTAAGTCTATTTCTGTATATAGCTGCGTTTGCATATGATCATGTGATCAGTCTCAGTGTGTGTCTTGTATAAAAAGCCTGTTTGAGTTTAAAAATAAAGAGTTCCATGTTTATACAGACTGGTGTCCTCTAGTCTTGTTTAGTCAGTGGTGGTGTCCGTGGATCTGTGTTCGGACAGGGAAGCAGGAGTCTAGTGGAAATACCCTAGTGCAGTTGGGGTCTTGTTCCGTTACACACTGCTTGTTGGATTTTACTGCTTAAGGGAATTGTTTGTTTAGTTAGTTCCTGCCGGACTAAATGGATATCCCATAGAATCCTCTAGAATGAATAGCTGCTACCTATAGACTGCATCCCTATGCCTTTCACACCATCAGGTCAACGTGGAAGATGGATCTCATCAATTTTGCACCCTGATGGTCTCAACTGTGGACCTCTAAACATATCTTTAAAAAGTTACCGCATTTGTAGTCTAGTAACTTTTCCAGTTCAGGTTGCATAATTCCTCTGTGC